ATTAATCCTTTATATAACGGTTACTAGCTAGCGCTTATTTAGAAGCCGGTAGACCTTCTAAAGGTCCCTATTATGTGTATACCCCCGGCGATATAGAAGATGTTTAATGTTTAGGCAGACTTTTAGGTTGTCGATAGCGTGCCTATACTATATCGAAAAGTCTTGCCGACTATGCCGACATACCGCTAGCTACTAACAATAATACTAACAATCCCCCTTTACAGGTCCTCGCTACTATATATATATAGCTATAATAAGCTATCTACGGAGCGAACTAAGCTAAGTATATAGATTGTAGACGACTCTAGTAATAGGGTCTACTAACCTGTAGATGCTACTAGATAGTATACACGCTCTGTAATAATACACTATATATACGACCCTTTTAGGCGAGCTCGTTATATATATACAAGGCGGAGTTATCGGATACGCTAATATCCCGCCTACAACCCGGCAAGCTGCTTAATATTGCTCGGATATCCTAGTATTCGGGCATATCCGATATATATCTATAGGCGTATACTAGTATAACATACGATGCCTCTATTTCTTAGGGGCTGTAAACCTACAACACTAGACGACTCTGCCCTAATTACGGTATCGGACTCGGTTATTGCGCCGTGCTAGTTAAGGCCGATAAGTCGCTTACGCGCTTTACGTCGTTAGTAAAACTGCGAGTAGATCTAGCAGCTAGAGAAAGCTAGGGATAGTATAGAGCATCGTATAGCTCGCATCCCTTAGAAAACTCGTAGCTAGACGCAGCTAGAGCTCTAGTAGCGGGAAATAGGAAGTCTAATCTAGCCTCTAACCAAAATTAGGTAGAGAGCCGGATCTTTTGCCCGGTTCTTAGCTATTAGAATCTAGGGTCGTCCGATCTCGGTTTCTACGTCGCTGTCTACTATAATACCTATGTTTATCGGTATAGACCGTTTTTTAAGCCTCTAAGGTATAGTTAATTGTTATAGATATCGCCGACCTTCTTAATAATAGCTTTTACGAGTACGGTAAACCTATACCTAACGCCGACGGCCTATTTAACGCGTACGAGATAGATCCTAACTATGTGTTTCTAACTAGTTATAACGACGATGCTATTATAGACGCTAAATTCTCGTCTTCTCGAGAGGTACGCGAGTCTATCGCAAAGTCGTCCTTCGAGCCTCTAATAGAGGTAGAATTGCCTACCGCAAATAAGCTCTTTAAGCCTCTAGTTATAGTAGACAACCTCGGTAGATAGCGGCGTACTTGTAATATAGCAGAGTCTAAGCTAGATGTTGTCTAACCTAAGCCTTAGAAACTAAGCTCTTATAGTCTATTAGAAGGTGCTAAGTATAAGAGGTAGGTACGCCTACTAGTCGAAGAGATATTTAATAGTATAGACTCTAAGGACCTCGCTAGCGAGCGGAATAAATAGGAGCTATCGACTCGCGACCCTAGTAGCTAGAGGTTGCCGTTAAGGTAGTTTAATCTAATATAGCCGGCTATTATCTTTCGGATAATAGTAATATATACTAATTAGTACGTAGGCTAGAAGGTAGACTTTAAGAAGGTAGTAGACGGTCGTAAGGAGGTATAGGTTTTAGGGCGGAAATAGAGGCTAGTTACCGCTAGAGAGATAAAGATTTTTATTAGTCTAATAATATATATGTTAGTAGTGCAAATAGACGATAAAGACGATTATTAGCGGACGGATAGGTACTAGCCGGCTTATAATATCGCTAGGTTTATAAGTGAGGGCCGATTTCGATAGATTAAGGCGGCGCTTTAGTTTAGTTAACCTATTGAGAAGAATAGCGGTTTACCGCCTTAGAAATAGGTCGTTAACCTCGCTACTATACTAAGGAAGGCCTTTAAGCAGTATATAGTGCCTGCGACTAGTATTAGTATAGATAAGGTAATAGTTAGGTTCTATAGGCGCTCTTACTATATTATAATAATAAAGGGCAAACTAACGCTAATCGGGTATTACATTCTTACTCTTTGCAAGAGGGGATATCTCTTTAACTTCCTATTCTCGTCGCTACGGAAGTAATAGGGTTTCGAGGTTGTTAGTAGTGTTAAACAGTAGCAAGATCTAATTAAGGTGCTAATTCGACTAACTAAGGTAGAGTAGAAGTCGGCTACTAAGGCGAGGAAGGCCGCTACGACTCGGGCTTGTAATAGAGGTAGAAACGGTAGTATCGATATAGGGAAAAATAGCGACGACGGTCCGCCGAGTAAGCGACGCCGGACAAAGAAGAATAGTTAGGTCGGTATAGTAGTAGATAATAATAAAAGCGAAGAAAGTAAGTAACTGCTAAATTAAGAAGCCTCTTATATACTAGACTAATCTTAGGGTCTAATAGCGGTCAATCTTATTAGCTTACTAAGCTCGCTTAGCTAAGCTGTTCTTCGGTTGTTGCTTTAGCTCCTATATTTAACTTACTTCTTCTACGTCTATATAGACAATCTCTTTAACAATATACTACTGTTTCGAGTCCTACGACATTATAGAATAGCGGCGACAGGTACGGTACGTGCTAGCTCTAAATCCTAGCTATAGTAGGGCGCTATATTTCGAAAGGTATAGTAGCATAAGGACTAGAAGGTATTACTTAAGCGGGGACAGCATCTACCTCCGAAGACTTAGTAGGAGGCAATAGCGCTTAATCGAAAGTCAATACGGTTTCTATTCGATATACTAATAGTACGTTATTACTATAATGTTGCAGCGATACTATAGCAAGATAGGAACCTTATTTAAGTGCTTACAACCGGACACTAGCTATTCTGGCGAATATAGCGGCATAGACGCTAGCCTAAGGACACTAACGACTTTATTAAGAAGCACGTACGCCCTTACTAGATTGTCGCTAACTAACTCTGCAATATTCCTATATAGGCGGCACTTTATAACGATAAGATAGGCGGCGTCGATATATACGACTAACTAAGAAGTTATTGCGCTATATAGCACCGCTTACTAAAGCTATAGTATCTACTATTCTACTTCCTTCTCGACGCGGCCGTAATTAATGCCTACATTCTATGCCGCGACTTTATAACTAGTAAGGACGAGAACCTTACTATATAGCGCTCGTTTAGGGTCCGCCTTAGATAGAGCTTAGTTATAGAAGGTACTAAAGAGATAGAAGTAGAACAAGCTAATATAACTAATAGTCCGAGTCCTCGAGACAGAGGCAGGTTTATACTAGGCTTCTTATATAACTAGCACTACGCACGCCCTTCTTAACGCTTCTAGTAGAAGCGAGGCGACCTAATTCGAGCGTAAATAGACAGCTTCCGCCTTAGCAAGGACTATAAGCACTTAATAGACGGTCGACTCGTACGGAGATAACGATATAACCTTTGTAACTTTACTAACACTGCGCTTAATATTAAGTCGTAGTCGTACTACTACGCACGGAGATATTGCAAGAACTATAGACCGAGATAGGCTCTATATAAGGACTATAAACACGGCTAGTATAACTACCTCGATTTACTAGCCTATCTCGAGCGAAGAAGGACACCTTCTAACCTACCGCTCTACTAACACTCACTTCTTATATAGCTTACGTATCTTTGGTATATCTCTATGTCTATTGTAGCTAAAGTTCTTTAAGAAGGCGTAGATTAAGTCTATATAAGTCTCGAGATATATTACTCGCAACCGTAGCTATATAAACTCTTAGAAATAGACCGTGTCTTATAGCCTCTCTACCTCTATAATACTCGGAGGGCTAGAGGCTAGGTCTAGCGTCGATTTAGACCTCTTAATCTTCTTCTTTAGTAGTAATATAGTACTAGAAAGCGACCTCGTCGTCTTAACCCTTGCTAGTAGTAGTAAGTCGTTCTTCGGCGGCGGAATAGGCGAGGATTTAGGCTCTACGGTCGTAGCATCTCTATATTCCTTTACTTACTTAGTTAGCAACGACTACTAGCGGCTACTAGCGGCGTTAATACAGCTATATATACTAGTGTTATAGCTATTACTAGCCGTCGCTTAATCGCTAGCTATTCTATAGAAGAAATAACGTTAAAACTACCCTTAGAAGAGCCCTTATTAGCTGTCCGGATAGCCTCTAAAATAGGAAGCCGCCTAACTATTATAGTTACTACTAGCGGTCTCGGACATTCGAGGGCACTAATTAGTAATCGGTGGCGGTTCGCGCACACACCAATTTTACTAGGCTACTAGAACTCTGCGCGACCGGAAGCCCTAGTTAGCTGAACCTTCCACCTACGGGACTGGTGAAGGGATGAGTGAATATAATGTGCACGACCAGCTCGTACAGTACAGAGACTTTTCCGCTTCACAATCCGCTTGGTACCTTCAAGACCGACAAGCTCACCCGACAAGCTGAGCTTGTTATGGTCGCTTGGAAAATCATATTAAGCGTTTACCTAGCTACTTCGAGTATAGCACCTCCGAATTATGCGGCGAAAGTCTGTCCATGACCGTCTGGGCTTACGTGGTTAATCAATGAGCCTAAAGCTCACTATGCATAGACGGTCTCTGACGGCGAGAGTGCGAAATCCACAGCCAACCGCGTTACATCTCGCAGATCCGCATGTGCTGCGCTGCCGCACATGGCTACTACCTACTACAGGATGATTGCCGATCAAGTATCCTGGCTGCATTTGCTGCTTTTGACAGGCCAGACGGCTTCTTCCCCTCATTGAAAGCGCGACTTGGCATATGGCGCTATGATCGGCGCGAACATACATAACATAGCTCGCTTTGCTCCTGATGGCAAGCTTTCATCTCGCGCGGCGCTCACAAGTCGTTCGCACGTTAAGACCCATTCAGTGAGACAAGACTCTTGGTACCGGATCTTAAATCGGGCGTCGAACACATTCTCGGACATATTGGACCGAAGTCTTGGGCCTCGAGCGAGCAGAGCTCCATCGCCAACATGGCTTCAACCGAGCCAACTTATCTACATTCCTCACCTGAAGCAATAGACGAGAAACACGAGGTCGCACACAAGGAGACACTACAAGAGAATGATGTGCACGATGTCTCGAAAGAAGAGGCACAGCATATGGTTGAGCTCACCGAGGCCGAGAAAATTGTCGAGAAGAAGCTCCGGCGCAAGATTGACAGCTTGATTATGCCCTTGGTGGTTCTCGTCTACTTGATGAACTATATCGGTAAGGCTTCGGCTTGATTTACAGTGTGCTGGAACTGACTCTTATTGTCTGTAGATCGCAACAACTACGCGGCAGCAAAGCTTCAAGGTCTGATCGAAGATCTGGGTCTGACTGGTAGTGAGTATCAAACCGGTCTCAGCATTCTCTTCGTTGGTTATGTAAGGCGCTCGCTCATTCTGTGAATTGGCGTCATCGTTGGCTGATTTGGGATCAGGTCCTGATGCAAGTACCCTCCAACCTGCTTCTGAATTTCTTCGGAAAACCATCTTGGTATCTCGGCTTTTTCATCGTCGCATGGGGTCTCGTCTCGACAGTTACATCTCAAGTCAAGAGCTTTGGGGGCATCGTCGCATGCAGATTCGTTCTTGGTCTTGTTGAGGTAAGTCGGCACTATAAAAAACCGATGACAGTTCTCAGAATACTGATATCGTTGGTCGTTAAGGCACCTTTCTTCCCTGGTGTATTGTTTTATTTGTCCAAATGGTACACGAAGGAGGAGCTCAATCTGAGAATGTCCATCTTCTACTCTGGTTCGTTGATCAGTGGTGCTTTCGGTAGCTTGATCGCTGCTGGCATTCTCAGCGGACTGGAAGGAGCGAGAGGAATGGATAGCTGGCAATGTAAGTCCCCGACAATCCCACGAAACTCTTCCTTCCACATTTGCTAACTCCTTTCCCTTTCCCTTCCCTTTAGGGCTCTACATCATCGAAGGCAGCATCACCATGTTCATCGGCTGCATCGTCACTTTCATCCTCCCCGATTTCCCTCACACCTGGAAGTTGCTCACTGACGAGGAACGACACGTCGCAAACCGACGCATGGCCCTGGACGCCCGACAAGCTGATCTCGACGCTCCAGGCGGTATGTCGCAGATACAAGGCCTCAAAGCAGCATTCACCGATCCAAAGACGTACATTCTCGCTATCGCATACCACGGCATGGCCGGAGCGGGAGGCTTCCAGAACTTCTACCCATCGCTCACCAGGACTCTCGGGTATAATAGGATCATCTCGCTCCTGCTCGTTGCACCACCATACATCTTCATCACATTCTACTCCCTGGCCCACGGTCTTGTCAGCGACAGGCTTGGAAACCGTTTTTGGTTCTTCATCTACCCGGTTCCAATCGTCATCATTGGAGCACTGGTCTTCATGTTCACCAATGGCTTCGGACCACGCTACTTCAGCCTGTTCCTGCTCAACTTCATCTTCGTCATGAACGGAACAATCTACGCCTGGATCGCCAACGCAATCCCACGCCCGCCCGCCAAGCGTGCCGCTGCGCTCGCTTTCATGAACTCGGTAGGAAACATGGCTTCCATCTGGACTCCATTCACCTACAGCGACGCCGATGCTCCGCATTACCGTGTGCCCATGGGCATCAATATCGGCTTGGTGACCATCGCCGGCATCTGTGGTATCATCATGCGCTTCTATCTGCAGTATCAAAACCTTCAGCTAGACCGTATGGAGGATGAGGGGTCGATTTTGACGGAGCGAGATCAGAGGATGTTGGCGAAGACGGCTGAGATTGAGGGCATTGATATCGCTACTGCGAGGAAGTTACAGCAGGGGTATCGATACACTATTTGACAATCTTTGAAGAAGTTGTAGGGGTGATCGATGGGCGGAGTAGTCAACCGGGTATAACTATGAATTTGCAAATCATATTTTTTTTATCATTCTGCGATCCTCGAAGCTTTTGTGTCTTATTCCCCCTTTATTATTACTACCACTACAGTGAGGTCTCCTTAGCTACAGAATTTGCTAAATTTTGAGAGTGCTTGTGGTCTATAATAGTGCTATGCCAAGACTAAGTGGAAAAGTTCGAAATTCGGAAATGTACCCCAGCACCACAACCTCAAAGAAAAGCGTTGCAGAGCGATGCAGGGAGCAATGAGCCGTCCAGTATTATAGCGAATCTCCTTGCTATAGTAGCCAAGACATGAAGACACGGAGGACAGGAAAAGTGCAGTGCCAGCTCCGATAGAATGACGCTAAGCCCAAATAGGTATAGTCTAGTCATTCACTCACATCACACACAACACACGACCATTGTACGGGGCGCTTGAGTGGAGGTAGCAGGAAAAGCGTGCTAATAGGCACCGTTCGCAAAGCCCCTAAACATGTTGTCCGTAAAATAGAACCTAATGACCAACGTAGACGAGTCTTTTCCGTAGTCAATCAAGGTCAGGGGCTCAGGGTCGAAGCAAAACCAAAATGTAACATCTATTGACACCAAAAAGCAACGTTTCAACAGCAAAAAGAAAGTCTTACTAAGCCTGGACGCGCTGGGAATTGAACCCAGGACCTCTTCCAAGACCGTCTTGAGGATATCAAGAGCTTGCTAAGGAAGAATCATACCACTAGACCACGCGCCCTGAGAAGGTGTGTTACTTGCTTGTACGCAAGCAATGTCCTAATTGGATGACGGTAACACAATTCAGACTGTAAAGATCTGCTGATCACGAGCAGCTCCAAAGACGTAGGGGGAACTGGAATGTGTGCCTTGCCAAGCCTCGCTTAATTTAGCGCCGGGCGAAATGAATGAATGAACACACCATTCGCAGGCAAGGCAGGTTTGCCGAGTCGTTGTATACAGTATCTGTTCGCTGTAACGCATTAGCTTAGTCACATGATTATCACATGACTTCTTAGTATAAGAAGGATTTTCACACTGCTTTTAGACTATAGAATGGCAGAATATAACCAAAAATGCTGTTGCGGCTTGCCCAGTGGTGCGACGAGTCATCGACCCCAACGCGATTGAATTCTTCCTATATCCCTTTCAGCATGCTTCGATCAAATTGAGAGGAATGTGCTACCTGTCTCTACCGGCACAAGATTGCGTGTAAAGAACCCGGCAACGCAACGCAATCTGTACTCTTCTTCGAGTTTGAGGCATTGGAGTTTTGTCCGTCTCGCACGGCAAGAAGAACGCAGAACAGGATCCTAAGCCCTCCTTCGAGGATGTTGATAATTGTTACCCATCGAGAGAGTAGTTTACTAAACGCTAGCCTACTAGGTTGACTGCCCAAAAGAGCGGCCAGATATAAGAGTACTGTTAACGCGAATCAGATCTGCTAGTCGTGTCAGAATGTGCGTATACAACCGATAAACTGAATGCGAACGGTTATCAAGTCCCTGGAAACACCGAGTGAGCGCACAGATGATACTTGTTACCGCTTGTGGCTATCAAGGGTGGAGAGGACTGGTAGAGAGATGGCAGGATTTTCTGCTCTTGAAAAGCAATGAATGGGTCCAGCCTTGCGTTGGCTGCGCCATGTTATCGGTGTGCATACAACATCTGTGCCAGGGCGTAGTCAAGGCTCTCTTGGACTGGGCAGGATTGTGCCTTGTAAGGCAGCCAGACATGTCATCACCATAGAGGCCGCACTTGTTCTGATGAGGATGTGAAATACACGATCAGACGTGTTCATGGATCAGCAAAGGACTTTTTCTCATGACTCATGATTACTGCAACAGGAGAAGGGTATCACGTATCGCGGCCCCGACAGGTATGGTACACCACAACTCCATCTCTCGTTTACAGCATCAGCCTTTGAAGGCCGATACTGTATTGACCATGACATTGGAAGAACTAGACAGCGTCTTCGACGACGTCTTGCCTCTTCCTTCGGAAAATCGAGCGGCCGCTCTTTCCCGTCTTGCCTGCTCGAATGTCGGACAGTCCAGGTACGATTTGCTGGAGGTCGCCGAGTGGGAGTGGTAATGGGAAGTCGACGCTGGGGAACAGCAAGGCAGCGAACAGATACCATCCCACCATGCAAGACGCGAACAACACCCCGCCAGCAGCCTAAAGATCGATCAGCATCGTTGGCCAGGAAACTCGGACAAGCTGGACACATACCTTTTGACAGTCGTGAGCACTGCTGGCATTTCCGTTCGCAAGATGGTAGAAGACGGCTGTGACCAGGCATACGCCGACCTCGATGAGGATGAACACGAGCAAGAACACGATGTTCGTGCGAGCCGCGCAGATGGTAAAGAGTAGCCAGAGGACGCAGAATGCTGCCCAGTAGTGTCCGTAGCTGGCGTTGAAGCCTTGTGTGGTCAGTCCCAAAGCTTCGTTGTCGACATCTGTGGAGAAGGAGGCGTAGGTAGCAAACCATGGGATGAGCGTAGCGCCGTAGGCCGCGTAGAAGCTGCCGAACATGGTGAAGACCAGGAATGGGAAGGTGTTACCGAGGATGAATTCGAGGATACCAGCGAGCCACATCAGAACGCCACCGTAGAAGATGACATCGGCGTTGTTGGCGGAACGAGAGCCCTTTGCTCCTCGCCATTCCATCAACTGCATCGTGATGGGCATCAGGGACATCTCGAAGCCAATGATGCCACTTTCAACGGATCAATGGATGTCTGGGGAAGAGCAAAGGTATGGAGATCACTCACAGTGCCGTGGGATTGCCTAGAATATTCTGCAGAGGGTGCTTCAAAGGTGGTCCCGCGAATTTCGGCTGTAGGTAGAGCTTCTCGAACAGATCCGACGAAATCGTCACACTTCCTGTCCCCGTCGTCTTGATCTTTTGCAGTGTCTCCTCCGGATCTTCGCCTTCGTGGGCCTTTCCATTGACATCGTCATGGAAGTCTCGTGCAATGCTGTCGTGACGTCCTTCAGCAGCCATCTTGCGAGATCTCTTTCGTGCAGGAGCAGATTAGATAGATGTATGATGAGCAGTGGGATCGGTCGCAACTCAGCAGTCGAGGACAATGGCTACCCAAATATCAACAACGAAAAGTGCGGAGAGCTTGAACATGGCTATACAGCTACGGAGCTACCCAGTCACCTGGTCGATCAGGAGACGGCGGTGACGAAGGTCAGTCAGCTCATATCCCTTAGACCGTGGGATAAGATCAGGGGAACAAAGGCTGTAGAGGCTGTGTTGACCATATGCGTCGTTGGACGCCAGGTTGGAGGTGTCAGACAACGGTATGCCCTGGTCGGCCATGGTGGAGGGGATTGAACTTAGGTACAGGCCGAGCAGAAATGCGGAGAATGCCTGTCATCCTGCGAGGAGATTCTGCGGTCTCACGGCGACACAGCCCGGGGAATGGCGGAGCATACAGTACAGCATTCCGGACTCCTGGACATCTCTCAGCCCGCGACATGTTGCTTTGATGATGAGGCAATTGACATGGTCTGCGGCTGGTATGTAGGGAGATGCAGCGCTATCGGATGACGTGGTGGTGTCGGGTTGCTCGCGTCTCTGCCGTTGGCTGCACAGCTAGAATATCCGAGTGAGGGTCAGCTCAGGAACTTCTGAATAATGGAATCTAGCATGTGACAGCTTGTTGGTTGCTGCCGTCAGCAGCGCGGTGAGGACTGCTGACCGATTGGCGTAGCTGCATTGCAGCAGTATCGAGGGGAAGCGGCAGCACCAATCGATTGTGATGGAATAGCAACGGCACGATGTTGAACCGTGAAGTTGTTATGATCTGATGAGATGTGGTGGCTGCAAACGTGAAGGAACAGCCGCGCCGCGCCGAGGCTGCCAAGCCAAGCACAAGCTTTGGGGAGAATAACAACAACTCTCGTCAAACTGCAGATGAGCCCATGGATCCACACAGCTGCTGTCGTCTTTGCATGATTAGCGGACGCACATCGAACGCATACCATGTCGGCGCTCGTATATGGCTCGGCAATAGTTAAGATCCGCTCCACGAACAACGCGTATCGCCTCTCAACAGATACTTACCATCAAGATACAGCAGCCTCCTAACAACCATGTAGTCGACGGCAGTCTACAGACGAAGCCGTTCACGGTCGACATGAAGAAAAGGCAGGCCGCGTCTCTTCACACATCTGAGCACGGAGGCTCTTCTCTCCTTGATTCAATCAGACCAAAACCACACAAAATGATACCCAGCAGGATCACCAAAACTTGTGCTCTGTTTCTCCGGACAAGCTTCCGTACCTCTCGAAGCAGTCCAAAGACCTCTACCGGCATTGTGATCATGATCAATCGTCAAAAGGCTATCGATGGGATTGATCATGAGATTGACAAGGCGACACGTAATGGGCAGCTTCTACAACACATTCATACCGATGCGAGAATATGACGCGATCACGCCCCTTACGTAACTCTCCTCGATCGCATGGACAGTGCTGAGACATCAACACCTCCAGCACCACGGGTTATCTTCGCCACTCGATACTCTGTCGTAAAGATAATCCAATCGTTGGACCTGGAGGCGACAGATGTGCTGGGCGTGGGCGAAGCATTGTGCTTCGGCTGTACCCGGATCACTTTTCATCGGCTGTGACCGGATGACTTCCGCTGGACGCTGTAATGGAATTGCTCTTGTTACGAAGAGAGGCACTTCTTTTTAAGTAATGGATAGGTAATCCCTAAAGATGGGGTGTGCTTACAAATCACCAAAAAACAGGCGACAACCTTGCTTGCTCAAGAAGGACTTGGCGGTGTAGCAAACGTTTTCCGACTTTTCCCGAGCACACTCTCTGGAAGTGCATCTGGCCTGAATGACATCTCGAGGCACCGATTGTGATGCGCAGAGAAGAGCATTCTGCACATATACAGCGCGCAAATACAGCTCTTCGGCCACTGTGAACCCAGTCTATCATCTTAGATGATTGGGATGTCTTTGGTAGGGTGCCTGAAATCGACTTCGAAAATTCTGTATATTCAACTGCCGTGGTGATGTGTCTATCTGTCAACAGTAATTAGTCCTTTCCGCCCAATTGCCACACCTCGTTGCTGCAGCCGCGCGGACTCTGCATAGCTTGGCTAATTCTTCTTCGGGACCCAGGTGACCGCTGTGCTCAAAGGCGTCCATAGAGATACAAAGCTAGCACTTCAATTGTATATCTGCCAAGTGTTAGCGGATTCATGAAGTCTCTCATGAGAAACAAGACTCACAGGCCGAGACTCATTGCACCCTCCATGTAATTGCTTTTGCCGTCCTCGATAAGATGGTTAAAGATCCAGACACTGACTGCAAACGTAACAAATTCAAACATATCCAGCTCGAGACTCATCGGCACGCCGATTGCCCAGCCGAGCAAGCAGAAGACAGGCCCAATGAAGAATGCCATCTGGATGCTGACACCTGCAGCCAGCTCAAGGATGACTTCCATCTGCTGTCGCCACGCATAGCTGGAGATCTTTGTGATCCCAGCCAAGACTGCAAGTAGCGGGATCAAGCAGTATCCGATGAAACTATCGCCAGGCACACTTTCGCTCTTCGATGACGCATCGAGCATGAACGTTGCGCAGAAATAGCCCAAAATGCCCGTCACGGCCATGGTGGGAACGGCGGTCCAGAAAGTGAGTCGTCTTGAAGTGGTCCTGGTGGCGAGTAAAGTTTGGCTTTCGCCATTGAACTCCTCGTCTAGAATGTCGGAGTGAGTGTGGCGGAATAGGTGATAGAGAGCGTAGATGATGAGTAGAACGAAGGAAGTGCCTCGTGACATGGTCAAAACAGCTTCCGTGCCTGAGAACTCTCCAGGAACCAAAGTTAAAACCGCGAGAATCCCGAACGGTACGATGGCGGTAGCGAGCAATGATGCTAGTGTAGATGCAACACTTTGGTTGAAGCGGTCCTCCTCCTCGATCCGGCGCAGACCAGAGACAAGGAAGGAGATACCTGATGACTTTTCGAGCCGTTAGCATCATTCTTGCCGCTTGAGGGTTGAACAGTACCAGAAGAATGGCTGAAACGATCTTCCCAACAATGTACGCTCTGGTCAAGTCTACATGGCCGCGGCAGAGAGCGATAACAGCGACCTGAGAATGAATCAGCCTGCACGTTCCGCATCAAGAGGCACGCACCCTCATACCTCCAGATCCAGCGTAAAAGCTCCCACCGCCACATCCCAAATCTTTCGACAAGGAGGAGGCGCGTCGACGGCGAGAATCTCGCTCCCATATCGGAAAATGCCCACGAGTGGTAGGAGCGCGACGTAGTTGAGGCTGAAGGTGATTCCCGAGCTCCATTCACGTCGTCCAGCGACGATGGCGACGGGGATTACGGGTATGAAAATCACCGTCCATGAGCAGGTCAATAGCAACCAGAGAGTTCGGGCCAAGGATCGCGCTCCTCGGGACGGGTACTGGATGTACAGGCGCTGATCTCCGCATAGGCGTTCTTGATCTTCGCCGTTCGGGAAGAGGAAGGCATCGATGCGTTTGGAGGGGCTCATTCTGGATGGAGAACAGGATTGATGGAGACTGCGAGGTCCATGATGATGGAAGACAAAGAGGAAGTACAGTAGAGTAACGGATGCACTGCCCGCCAAGACTCAGCCGCCAAGAACCCGTTCCTGGACCAGAGGGCTGCTTTCACCCTGCCAACAACGTGTTTGCCGCATCGATCACGTATGACAAGACCTGCCAAGTCTGTCTTCGCCAAAATCTACATACAGCTTGGGCTGGTATGACTTTGTTACAGCCCCAATGACCACATCTTGGCGTCCACAAAGCGAGGCGGCCATGCGTTCCCAGTAGTCACCTCAGTCCCACGCTGTCCCAAACATCATGCTACTGCTTCTCACTTCTCTGACCAGGAAGGACCATTGATCGACTTGGAGTCGGACGGCTGGATGACATGAACCGTAGTTCTGTCTCTCGTTATCAGCAAGTCAAACTCTAGAATCAGCCGTTCAGGACGAGGAAATGCACGATTTCCCAGCCACGCATATATTCCTAGTTTACCGGCCCACAAGACATACTCCATAGCCCCATCCCTTTCCATTCCATCTCATATCTCGTAGCTCAAGATCCTCCACCGCATCGAACCCTGTCTATTGTACTTACTTCCCCATCCTTCACGAACCCAATTTCTCCTCCACATCACAACTCTCCAACCTCCACGCCCCCGGTGGCACCCCGAACCCAAGAAGCCCCAAACATCCAAGAACATACTCCCTCCTCCTGACCCCGCAAAAACTCCCAAGCCGAACATACCGACTCAACCGCCTCTCCGGAAGCTCCTCATACTCCAGCACCAGCACAAACTCCTTGATCAAAGCCGCCTGTCTCGGTCCGATGATCTGGAAAAATTTCCGAAGCCGGTACACGTCGCTCGCCGTCCCAAAGAGGTACACTCGACCCGCAAGTGGCGTGGCGTAGTAGAGGGAGAGTGCTTCGGCCCGGACTTGGCGGTTTGCTGCGAGGAGACCGGGGCGTTTCTCCGTTATGGAACGCTTTCCTCCGGGGAGGGCGAGGGCGTAGATTTCGTTGCGGAGTTCGGCGGAGAGGGAGAAGATGTTGATGCGGGATTTTGTGGCGCGGTGTTCGGGCTCCCTGGTAGATGAGAAAAGATTAGGAGGTCGGGAAGGTTTGTTGGTGTGGGTGTGGGGACTTACTGCTTGACGAGGCCGTTGTAGCATGTTGTGGATAGCTTTTCGAGGAGCTTCTGGAGGGTGGCGTCTTTCATGTATGGGTATTGTTTTCGGAATTCGGCGAGGGCGAAGGTGAGGATGGTGGTGGTGGTGGTTTCGGCGGTTTCGAAGGTGTCGTCTGCGTCCATGCTGGTGGATGATGAGTCGAAGGGGTGTTGGTTGGATTGCAGAGGTTTTCTTGACGCGAGACCTACCTCCTTCTCAGGCGCTTCGACCGTGGTGTCAGTTGGATTGCAGAAGTTTTCTTGACGTGTAACATACCTCTTTTTTAGGCGCTTCGATACCTCCTCGCAACGATTTGTGAGAGTCTAACTAGAGGAGGTATAGTGAGACGACGGAGCAAGATTGCGCGGCCGTTGTACTTGCTACGAAAGGAAAGTGGGAAGTCGCGGAAGAGTGAAGTGGACGGCTTTTGGTATGCAGATTTCGCTGTTGACTGAAGCCAATGTCCGAGCACAGTCGCGGCACTCTTCATAGACCGTCACCTTTGGGTCCTTGATACAGATACGACCTCATCTCTCACGCGTAGCATGTTCATCACGTCCTCTAGATTCTCCATCCCGATCGAATCATACCCCATCGTCTCCACCCAGCCATTGAAGAAACCTGCACTCGGCACACAAAGCCTTGTTCACGGCCCGAATGCTCGTTACGATGCTACAGCCCAGCCAGCTCTTGAGAGAAACATCCTCTCCAACCTGCCATGCCACGTCGCTCTCTCAGCGTGGCGGCCGGCGTGCCGCAATCCATCCATCCTCGAGCTCCGCGAAAGCATGAGAGAATTCATCGGTAAGGAACTGGGTTGGTAGGCAAAGAGGAAGTCACAAGCGGAATTCTATTCCTGCGAAAGAGGCAGCCATAGTCCCATCGCAAGGACAGCGAGGTGGCAATGTACCGGAGGAAATCAAGCACTGGTTCCCTCGTCATCTGCACGGCGGTAAGAAATAAATCACCGGTATGATGTTAGCCAGACACAGTCTGAATGGAGATAAGGTAGGGAGGGAGACGCAAAGCCGTTGACTGTATAGCGTCATGTCAGCACCTCACTAGTCTCCAGTCAGACCTCCGCATCTACACGAGCTTACAAGCGATACATCCTGAGAAGGAGGCAGGGCAGGTCCGGTCAGCCAAAGCCTCCATCAATTTTGTATGTATAATACCAGCAACAGAAGAAGCTTCGAGTAAGCTCCGGGAGAAAAAAAATGACTTAGCGTATTCATATGCATTGAGCGACTGCCGTCCTCGCCCTCGGACTGACTTGGAGAAAGTAAATTTCGTCGTCCTTCCCCGAAGTAACAACGCACCGCGTCCTCCGTACTACTGAGAATGAATGAATGCATACACCCGAACTCAACAGCATGCATGCATGCAATGCGGAACTTCAAGGGTGGGGTTTCCCAAATGTCCGGTTACAGAGATTCTAAACTGCGGGAACGGTAACCTTCACATGCGAAGCTCTCTAGACAATATCGGCACTTATAGCGACCGAGGGGGACCCCTCGAGGCCTAGAAGGGTGGTTGTATGTAGAAGAGGGACGACGACACGCCGGAGGGGGGTTATCGGATGTGGATCCGGATTCTTTCTTTTAAAGGACCTAGCGACCGTGACCCGAGGGACGAGGGGAGTAGAGGTCGCGCGGATTCCATCGTGAGACGGCCATCTGGAATTTTTCCTGGCCGGAATTTCTAAAGGCTTGCTCAACTTCAAACGCGATGCTCTCTCTGTGCACGTAAGTAAGTAATGGAATCATTATAACTTCGACGCTGAGGTAAGATCCAACCTTTACAAATCCTCGACTTTCTGAATTCTTCTTTCGCCTATCATTGGTATCATTCATTCACTGAAAGCATTCCCCCCCCGCTCCTTCCAACTCCAAAAGCCGTATCGATCGATTTATAACTCTCTGCTAGTTTCCCCTGTGGTCGTGCCTTCCTCAGGTACAAGCCTGGTGTTAGTAGTATCGTCTCCATGGTTGGAGACAGCATCACCGACTCTCTCATCCCCCTCTTCAGGAAAAATCTTAACCTTTTCAGCATACTCGCGAATATTCGAGAAAATGGTATCCCGAATGAGATGTCCCTTACCACCAGCGACACGCAAAATGAGATCGTTGAGCGAACTTCTGCCCAGAATATCGACATGGTCTGCGGTATTTGGGCCGCCGCGGGGATTGAATCGATCGGGCTCGTGAGGCATTTCGTATGCGACGACGGGGATGTTGGCGGGGTTGTAGCGCGGAATTTTCCAGCCTTTGTTGCACATGTAGCCTGTAGAGAGAAGGTTGACGGTGCCGTCGCCTTCGCCCATGACGACGCCGTGGTCGACGACGCCATCGGGGCTGTTGACGGTGGGGTCGATGTGGACTGAGGTCTCGTTCATGGCGTCGAGCTCCTCGCTGTAGAAGTAGGCGCGCTCGGTTGGCTTGCCGATTCCGTAGAAGCAGAAGATTTTCATGTTGGGTGCCAGAGGGAGTCTGCTTTCTAGTGGATTCATCCACTTGTGTGGTACGTGGAGGTTGGCTTCGACCTCTTCTTTGGTGTGAGCCACGCCCTGGCTGTAGCTCCGTTCGATCTGGTCGGTATACCAGTCTTCGGTATTCTTGTGCAGATATTGCAAGGCTTCCCTCACAGTCATGTTCTTGGGTGTCATGGTATTGTTGATCTCCTTGAAGTTGAGGAATTTGCCAAAAGTGACCGACTGGCCCGGTCGGTCATCGGGTGCGCCATTCTCGTCTCCCCAAACCGCCTCACCACCGATAGGCAACATGGATGAGATCCCTGGCATTCTTCGAAAGATCTCAGCGCGTTCGATGCGTGACAAGAACTTCTCCAAGCCGTACACTGCGAAAGCGTTGAGCTGCACAGTGTCTCGCATCTCGCCACTCAACACAGCAGGAAGATCTTTCAGCGCGCCAAGCATGCAGCCCGAGATGTTAATCCATGCTTCGATGTGATCATTGACCCAGGACGGTCCACCGTTGCCGTATCCCTCAGCTTCAACCCAGCGGAAGAAGTAGAACAGCACTTGTGATCCCATGGAGTGTGATAGCAGCACCACTTTCTCGCCGCTGACATGCTTTCCGACCTCGATGTGGTTCTTCAGTCGTGTGAAGTATTGATCTCGTTTCTCGTAGTTCTGATAGCTCAATCGCCAGTCGTAGGCTGCCGTGAAGGCATTTGTTGGATCGTACCCGATCGTTGCCAAGTTCTCGAGAATCTTATTCCTGAAGAAAGGTCAGCGGATAAGGGTGAAGTGTTTGCACTTCTCTCCTCCTTACCAGATCCAGTAGCCTGTGATGAAGAAGTCGGCTGCATCGAATCCCTGCGCAGCTCGTAATTTGATACCAGGCGGGTCCAGGCCGGTGTTCTTGTCCAACATGACGTGTCGTTTCCAGCTCGCCTTGTCGAGGATCAAGGCTCTCATCATGCTCCACGATCCCCACAACCTCTTTCGAAAGTATTGTCTCGACTGATCTTCTGTGCCCCAGCTCTCAAGACCAGTAGATATCACACCGGGAATCATGATCACAGGATACTTGGCTTGTATGCCCTCATTCCGTGCATGGAGACCAATGGCGAAGGAATCGTAATCGACGGCATTCTTTTCTCGAGACTATATACACACTCTACCGTCAACACATCAGCTCTGAAGGAAGCATTCACCGAAGAGGAGGTCTGGCCCACCTGTATATCCCGCACATCTCGGATCACTCCCGTCGGCAGCACATCCAACAGACTGTCCAAGTTCATATCCTCCAGTCCCGCGAGAGTCACCAGCTGGTCCAAAGCTCCATCTTTCGCGGCGAAAAAGCCTGCCGTCAGTAGACCGAAGATGCCGCCCAACGCAAATATCCAGAAGTTCCGCCGCTTCCGCCCCTTGACTCCTTTGACCTTCGTTCGCAGCTGATCGAGTTGCTCTTTTGGCACCACTCTGTACGCGTCGCCGCCCGCCTCTTTCGCAGCCGGCGCCGGGCTGGCATCGCGTGAACTGGCAGGCGTGCTGTCGCCGGTGCCAAAGATGCGCCGCCGTAGCTCCGACATGGCGGGATTTGTCGCAGGAAATGCGAGATCAGTGGGCGGGAAAGAGGATCAGAAAGTTGGCGGTCGCGATTTTGGAGGATCGCGTCTCCGGCAACGTCATCCCGCGCCTGCCGAGAGTTTCGCGTCGCTTGCAGGGGTGGGCAAGTGGGGTGCAACTGCAACTTCACAAGCTTCAATGTTGTCTTGTGAAAGCTTCTCTTCACATGAATCTTCGTTATCGCCTGACTCTCACCGACCGCGCCCCATCGCCCGATCAGGCACATCGTCCACCTGCATCACCGGAACAGGACACTCATGATCCATTCGATGGTGTCGCTGCACTCCCCCAAAGCTTCCCATCTCAATGAGCGACACTCCGCCCGGCGATGAGCAAAAGAAATTGAACACAAGCACGCCCGACAGCGAGCTTCGCTATGCCTGTTATGGGCCGGGCAAAGAGTCGCCATATCTGCCAGCCATCAAAGCCTTGATCTCGAAAGATCTTTCCGAGCCATACAGTATCTATGTGTACCGGTACTTTCTGTATCAATGGGGCGACTTATGCTTCATGGTACGTCGTCCTGCTCACCGATCAATGAAGCCTGTGTCAACTGACCTCTCCAGGCTCTCGATGAGCATGACACGCTTGTTGGAGTCATCGTCTGCAAGCTCGAGCCCCATCGCGGCGGCCCCATGAGAGGCTACATCGCCATGCTGGCCACTCAATCCGCATACCGCGGCAGGGGCATCGCCACCAAGCTTGTTCGCATGGCTGTCGACGCAATGATTGCCAGAGATGCAGACGAGGTACCGTGCAGCCTTGCTTGCCCTGCAGCGTATTACTAATAATACATCCAGATCGCGCTGGAAACAGAAGTCGACAATGTTCCCTCGCTCCGAATCTACGAAAATCTCGGTTTCGTCCGCACCAAGCGATTGCACAGATACTACCTCAACGGCAACACTGCTTTCCGCCTGATCCTGTATCTCAAGCCTGGCATCCCGTATAAGCCAACTTACCCGCCCGATTACCCTCCCATGCACCCAGCAGAAGCCGCCTACTACAACTCTCAATCGGGACAGGGTCTGATGGACGAAGATCTTATGCAAAGGCAAGCGGCACAGTTGCGCCTCGAAGAAAGCCATCACGAGCGCCACAACATCATGGACAGCCAAACGACACAATTTTGACCGGACTACGTTCATTGAAACAAATTGACTACCCTACACTGCACTTTCAATCCTCCTCAGTGCTCCGATGCATTTCTTCCCTGCTGTATGTGCATGCTACCCCGAGAAAGGTGGCGGGGACTCACTACGCAGATCTTCTCACTCGCGTGGAGCGAGGGCTGACGCTGTTGAATGATCTCTTTCGCTTCTGCCCTTGACCAGCAGCCCAACTCCCTCTCCTCGGGTTGATCCATGTGGTGTAGTACTCGCGGCAATCACCATGAACATGCATACGCTTGAAAACCTCGCACTGACAGACTCTGTGCTTGAGAAAGTAGACCAAACGACGCACGATACGTTCCGCGCATTGCATGAATCCAGGTCGCAGCACTGTCCTCTCAACAGTATCCCATATCCATTCGCGACTGAGGGGCACGCCATGCGGAACAGTGCAGAAGTCCTGAAGATACGTCAGCTGGAACCAATGGGTACATCCATGTATACCACTTTACATCCCTGCTGGGTACTGGTGCTACTTACTGGCGAGTTGCGATAGTGGTACGACAGCGCATCTTTGACGGCGTTAATGATGCCTCTGTAGAGGTAATTTGGCGTGACAAACTGCTTCGTCTTATCGGCGAAGCTGTCGAATTTATCAATTATTCGCATCACGCTCTCCTCGACGATACCGAACTCTGGAAAGCATGTTGGATTCTGACTTGTTGGTGTGGATAACTGTGGTTCGTCCATGTGGTGGCTTGTGATATATGCAAATGCATGGGTCATTATTTCTGGATCGGCATGAATCTTGGCGGCACCTGGTCCTTCAACGATAGGGTCGACTTCGTCAAGATCGGCAAAAGATCTTTCGTGGTTCTCCCAATCCTACACCAAATGATCAGCTTCACAGCGGCAATGCTCTGCAATGTACGTCCGACTTACATCAAATTGGTCATCTCGCTGATAATTGCCTTCCCTATCCAGCCCAAATGCCACCTGCTTCACAGCAGCCTGATCAAAGAAGGCTTGACGACACATCGGGCAACGAAATTTCAGGCCATGTTCCGTGCTGTCTCTGAGCAAACAATCCCTGCAGAACAGGTTCCGACAACAATCAACCCTCAAAATCGGACTTTGGACCTCGTGCCATTCCAACCAGCACATCGCACACTTGCCGTCATCTCCGTTCCTCAAGTTCTCGCGATACACCTGGCCACTCACCAAGCCAATCGCGCGACCCATATCCGGACGTCTTGTCGGCTCGCGAAATCTTCCCGGAAGCTCCAATCCAGCCATATGGCCGCCCGCCATAAGCTCCGCGTGTCTGATAGCGCGATCATGCCTTCCATACACCAGATCGAGGATCTGAGCATGCCATACTGCAATTCCTTCCATGGCCCAAAATTCCTCGCGCAGACGCATGCAGTATGTCGTTTCATCCGTACGCCCCTGGCCATTCATCCATCTCACATGCGATCTACGTAGGATCCTGATCTTCATGGTGCCGTCTCGACCTCCATCATCTCGGATTCTGAAAAGCACCACACCCAGAATCGTCAGCCCCGCACACTTCTCCAACGCCGCCATATCCACCGCAAACCGCATCTTGTCAACCCTTTCCTCGAAGAATTCTCCTGTTGGCGCTATGGGCACGGGTCCCAGAGGTCGAAAATTCTCCGCTGCGCCGTGCTCCGCCTGTCGCCCCCCAGTCAGAAACACACCATCTTACCTACTACTACTACCTTACTTACCCTCGTAAGACTCTGAAACCGATACCGATCCAAAGAATTGTAACACGTGTTCGCGATCACGTCTTCGTTTTCGACTAGTGGGTCGGGATGGTATCTTTTTCCCATGTCGTCCGGGTTGGCGATTAGCGTCCAGGATTCTCTCCTGGTGTTCCAGTCGAGGAGACTGACGGCTGGGTAATTTATTCGGAACCTTGTGAGCGAGTGAACGAAGCGAGTTAGTAGGAGATTTCTTTGGGCGATGAATGGGATGGGATGGGTTGCTTACTGGTGGTGGAGGTCGAAGGCGTGGATTTTGAAGTTTTCACGCGGGTCTGGGGGTGTCGGTAGGTCGGCCATCGAAGGACCGGCGGTGGTTGAGGCGTTCATGATGGGTGGTACGGTACGGTACGGTACGGTATACTGGATTCGATGGTAAGAGGTTAGTGGTTTCTCTCGCTAGGAAGTCTGAACACCTTGAAGGAAATGAATGCAACGCACGAAACAAAGAAAAACTTGACCTTTCAACTAATGAATATGGGCACTCTCCCAAATCCGGCCGGTATGTCTACTTGATACGAAACGAAGACAAAGAGAAATTCCGGAAATGGCTCACTTCGCTCTGGGCTCAGGAGCTCAATGCCTGTTGGCGCCTGCTAGTTTCTGAAGTATACGACGCCCATCTTCGAGAGATCGATCCTGTTGAAAAAGAACTGATGTCGCGTAGGGTTTGATTTACAGTCGACTAAGCACGGTATTGCCCCCATAGATGTGCAGGGCACTGCGGATGACATGGTGGTGTTAGTTACTGGACGAGAATTTGTGAGTTGGGTCTCTGGTTACTAACTAGTGTGCTGATCGTCTTCCTTGTGGGAAAATCGGCGGAAGTGATGACCCAACTTATTTCTCGGAGGCGTTCGAGCTGGTCGCAGAGCAGCAGTAGTCTATACATTCTCCAAGATGTGATCTGTGCCACGAAGGAACAGTAGGTCTGTCATTGATGATGAGGTATGATGCATTACGGATCAATCTGCTTCTGCTCTGGAGTGACGTGTGGTCGTCCTGTATGCCTGTCACCTCACCAATATGCAGAATCTGTAATCTGTTCCCATTACTTATACATTAACAGCCGTCTTGCTCACGTCGGCCATCACCCTGAACAGCGCCACCGGAACTAGCTCCGGCGGCTGCCTCACGAATCGCCGCCTCATCACCACGCAGCTTGGCAAAGTATGCTTTGATGTCCTCTGCGCCGACTGGTGTCCCGCTTTCCGCAAAGGGTTTCAGAAAGTCTTTGACCTTTTCTCGCACGTGGTTGTAAGCCATCACGCCCTCCACAGCTCGAACGCGATCCATCCCAGAGAGAGCGGCTTCACCTCGTTCCAGGATGGAGCCAGAGCCTACGCTTCGGCCGCCGACTGATGCGTTCTCGTTTTGATCTGACTCTGAAACGGGAGGCTCGTATGTATCCTCTTCTTCCAGCAATTGAGGGAGTCTAGGCAGTCGTGGAAAGCATTCGGGACAGCGGCAGAGGTGATCCCGGAAATCCTCTTTGAGGAATAGAGAGACCCTGCCGGACGGTGCAGGAGGGAGTGTCTCGTGCTTCGGCTTTGTCGTGCCGTTCGCGTTTGCAGGTTGATCAGCAGCGAGAGCCTCGTCATCGCCCTTTGCTTTCTTATTGCTCTCCTGCGAGGGTTCGGGTTCGTCTTCGGCCTTTCGCTTTCTATCTGCTGTTGCTTCTCCAGACTCAGTCTTGCTATGATCACCTCCAGATATGCTAGGAACGCCTTGATCCCCGCGCTGAGTGGTCTGCACTTCACCAGTATCCTGGCGAATACTGCCGTCAGCGGGCACAGCTGGTAAGAAGCCAGGCGTACCGGCATACTGCTTGATCCATGGGAAAGCATCCGCGCATTTATAGCAAATCAGATGATCAAAGTCATCTTCAGAGGGAAAGCCTTTCGGCACCGGCGGCTCTTCTGTGCCTGCCGCATGGTCCTCGGTGCCATTCTGTAGTGGCTGCTCAGCCCCATCTTCGCCTTCTTCCTTGACAGTCTCCAGAGTGCCTCTACCTTCAGGCTCCGGCTTTGCAACATGCTCTTGCTTGGTCCGCGGCAAGCCCATCAAGCATTCCGGGTGCCACCAGTCCTCGCCACATCCACCGTCTTCCACGTGACCCAGACCAAGACATTGAAACATGGTGCCCTTCTCCTTCTCGGGATCATATTCCTCGCCACAGCCGCAGAACTTGCCCTCGAAGTTCTGATTGTACTTGTTGCCCGGTCTCGCCTCCTGACCTTTCACATCGCCTTTCCTGCCCGTCGCAGGATTCGGCCGTAGGCTGCATGGCGTATCCGATGTCCCAAATCGCGTGGTCCCGCAGTCACATACAAAGTCGCGCTTGGCGAACAGCTCGACCAAGTTGTGCTCGCCGTGGCAGGAGATGCTGCAGCTATAGCATACTCCCGCGGGTGTGAACTGCTGATGTTTCGATGCTGGCGGCGGCGTACATGTCAGGCAGGCGTATACCGATTGTCGCAGTGGACCGAGAGGTTTGGTGCATGTGTCGAATTGGTATGGGAGAGCTTCGCGGGCATCGGCCTCGAGGGAGAGTTGAGATTGGATGTATTCTTGTGCGGTCTGGGATGATTCGGATGCGTGGGAGAAGCTTGAGGATCGCGCGAGAGTCGCATTCGTATTCACTTGTTCCGAAGCCATATTCCGTATTATCTGCTGCTGGTGGAGGTGGAGGTGGAGGTCGAGGTGGAGATGATAGAGAGTGGAAAGCCGTCGCGAAACGCGTGCAAAGTCGCGTCGGCACTCAATTAAGCTTCTCCGTCAAGTTTTGACGGGTCCCAATGAAATGTGCGAACTTTATTTCGACTTTCCATCGTTCGCCTCCCTCTCATCGGTTTTGCATATAAGGAGGACAGAACTTATCCGGTCATGCCTGCGTATATTTGATCCCTAACAAACTCTGGTGGGGACATCTTGAATTCTGAGGCCATTTCTTTATCTACCTACGCCCTTTATTATAGAGTGGATATTCTAGTCCGAAAGAAGGCATTCTATTGCCTCTATTTCTTTACTAAAATCGCTATGTCTATGTGTCGCGTTGTCTCAAAAATCCAGCTCGAAGGACTTAGAGAAATTCAGCTTTACTTAGGATGACTAACACACTGGTAGGGGGAGAGTGGATCCGATCTGTCCTCCTTATATGCATAACCCTCTCATCTCTCCTTCAAGTTTGTATCACACCATTATTACTACTACAAAGGTGCCGCTATTCACATGTTGATGGCCATCCAAGCCTGTGACTCTTGGCGCTCCCAATGAGGCTTTCCACTGAGACAGCCGCCCTTCAAGCAGTCGACACAGCCAAGCCTCCAGCAACAATTTGGTCTCGCGTCTGCCAGGATGACTTTCGAAACAATCTTGTCGCCCTGGAGAAGAAAACGAATGCGGTGCCTGTCGATGTCCTGAGTGTCAGCGTCGGCGATACGGAAGATCATTCTTCCCACGGCGCTGCCCTTCCTCTTGCTGTGGAGAAGCAAGTTGCTGATGATCTTGCCTATCTGGCCGCAGTCACAGAAGGCGCCCAGAGCGTCGCTGCCGTCTGCCTTGAGCAGCACATTTCCAATGGCCCTGCGTCCAGTCTAGTCTGCAGGGTCGCGGGCATGGACGTGGTGGATATGAGTGTCCGGCTAATGTTGGACAAAATCTGCGAAATACTGCAGCATGTGAGTTCAAGTCCGAGCGAGCTTCACATGCAAGACCTCCACGGTCCCGCGATGGCTATTTTCGGATTGATCATTGAGCAGCACCAGCAGAAGCTTCTGGGCCGTCTGAGGTCTCAGAAATGGTCCAAGCCTGCTTACTTGGCGCGAACTCACAAGAAGTCGCTATGGAAAGATTTCGAAAATGTCATACACAGAGCTCAACACGTCTACCCGAAGCGATCAGAGAAGATGATCCGGACCGATGTTCAAGACCGTTGGAAAGCTCTTGCTGAAACTTACCAAAACTTCGAGGATGTGGCAGATGACAGCCAGAAAATGCTTCAGCTCTTGGTGGGAAGCACCTACGACTTCTGCCAGTCTGCAGCTATCGCTTCATTCGCGCGGAAGCTAGAGGATGTTCATGCAACACCCCAGATTGCAGCAGCCTTGAAGACACTGCGCCAGCTCGAGAAGATAGGGGCGTACTGGAGGATAGCGAAAGTCTTGGTCAAGACTGCTCGCAGCTACCCATCATTGTTCCGGGAAATCTCAATCGAGTACATCACCCCTTACGTGTCAGTGCCCACAGAAATAGCACATGAGTCATGGGCCAAGACTTGCCATGTGCACGCCGAGGTACAGTTGGCTGTCCATTACGCCTTGTCGACTACAAGCGATTGTACCATCTGGCCAAGAGTAATCGGCACGAGTAAGTATTATTGCTACCTGTGCTATCTTTTCCTGAGATATCAAGGAAAGTATCAAGCGCTCAACACACATGGTCGACTATACGATCAATGGACAGTTCCAGACCTTGAAGGCTATAGCGTGGAGGCAAGAGAGCGATTTGCCATGGTGCTGGAGGCTATGAACAGCCATATTGCAGGAAGACTCGGGGAGACAACAGCTCTGATATGGCGGCCTGAACCCATGACTAGTCGACAAAATTTGCTTTGCTATCAACAGACTGCCTCTCCGACCGAGGAGCTGGAAGATGCAATGCAGAGGGCAACTATTTCAGTACCATTGACATGAGCACCTCGAACCGTTCAGCTCGCAGTCTTTCTAGACGACGTGCCCACGTTCCAGGCAGCGGGTTCCAGCTTACTTGTGTGGCATTAAGCGCATGATGTCTTTGAGGATATAGCGGGTTGTTGAGTCTCCCGGTACTTCGGTCTTCAGATGGAAAACTTCCGAGAAGTATAGAGGGTCCTTGCTATTGTCGAGCTACTCTGAATCAGCATCGTCTGTGGGATGGACCATTTAGAAATGAGACCTACGAAGACTCTGCCCATGGCTAGAACGATCATGTCATCCCTCGTTCCTTGAGAATCCACAAAATCAACCTCGTGCCTGGTTCGAGGAACGATACTCTGCAAAGCAACTTTGATCAACTACAAGCCAGACCACTTTGCAATATGAGACAGGACTTACAAAGACACTGTCTAAAACGTCCAGACCCGCACCTGTAAAGACCATAAAGGTCGATCCGAAGGACACCGTCGTGTCGACCTTGAATAGAGGCCTCAACTCTGAACGCCGAGCCTCGTCATCCCAGAGCTGGTAATTTCGAACAGCGAATGCACCTGAGAAACTCTTAGCGACAAGTAGCCCAAAAGCTCCCGCAGGAAGCCAGTCTCACGACCAATCTCATGTACATCTTCTGCTCTCGATCAGCAAAGTCCAGGTCGCCCAATCATCATCTTGCCATACCCATTGCGCGTTCCAGCTCACTCGGCCACGACAATTTTTGTATGTGAGCGGAGAATCGCTCTGCAGATCATTATCGAAGCATGCCATCTCGAGAAACGGAGTAACTACTCTCTCAGAACGGGGCTCTGCCAACAGCCGGCTACCGGACATGCAACGGCATATGAATAAAGTTGGCGCAAATTCACCAGGATTCTCGAAGCTTGTCTCCTTGACATTGTCTCGTCATTACTCTCGTTGGGGAACGAGGTTCCAGGTCGCTGTCAATCTCCCAATACAGCTATAATAAGTGGGAATTGCACGAGAGGCTACATGACCTACTACTACTTCACTCGTGAATTGAACAGCCTGCAAACTCGCCCGTTACACAATAGTATATATATACCTCTCTTTTCTACCTTTCTATACCTACTCCCTACAAAGCTAGATACACCTTCTCACTCGCCTTATCATTCAAAAGTCTCCCGTATCGTACGGAGCACGCTATAACTTCTTTGCCCTGTTCTTCCAATCACGTGAAAAATTTGCATTCTTCCAAATCAATACACTCTGGACCAAAAAATTCTCCACTTCCTTTCGCAATCGCTCGAGATAGCCATGTCCGGAAGTTTGCTTCATTATTTGCACGAATACGAAGGGAGTTTTCCTTGCTTCCTGAAATCATGCGGTCGAGCAGAAATGGAAATGGCTCTCCGGTGTGAGAATCACAGTCTACAAAGTTGCAGGGCGTTGGGCGTTGGGTTTATTCTGTTATTCACAGCCACTTTCGTATCTTCTGCGTTGAGTTCGTCGAGAATGGAATGCTCATGCTAATGCTTTTCTGCATTGGTGGAATGGTGTTGGGGAGAAGTCGATATGGGTTGGCTTTCTACTTGGAGCGTATAGAATAGGCTATCCCTAAGATCGGTCTGCGTCTCGCTCGAAGATGTCGTTCTTTCTGAGACCCTGGGCGGACCTTTTGCTTTCCATGTTGACTAATTATTGCGTCGTTACGTGTTCTCGGGAGCAATACGAAAGTCTTGCGAACACAACGAGATGTACTTATCCTCAGCCGTCTGCGCTGTATAGACGGAGTAGCCAATTCAGGGTCCGCAATGCTATCGACATTCTCTGGTTGTGTTGTAACAAGCGTCCAATAATAGCCACGTCTTGAAATGTACCGTTCTGCTTAGCCGCCTCTCCATCGAGAACCCTTTTACGAAACATGTAGATGGTCGTGCGAGATGTCTTTAATCCGCCATCGTTCTCTTCTCTTCCCAAGAACGTATCTGCGGATTTCTTCCGCACGAGGGTAGGTAGCATCGATATAGGCAGGCGCTTGCGTGTTCCATTGCAGCAATTGTCGTGGTCAAGGCAGTAGGTAAAGATCTGATCTGGCGGCGGCGCGGTTTGCTCGTGGATGTTCGATAGGGTCGCGGCGAAAGGGCTATCATATGCAAAAGTGTGCATCTCCATTCACTCATGCTTGTGCTTTCGGGGTTTCGGACCCCTGCCTCTTGGCGAGATCCCGAGCGCCTCCTCCTTTCTTCACAACACCCCCCATCCAGGCACCACAACATCGTCGCCACGCTAACCCATACGACCGTCTACGATTCCCTGGCAGATTCTGGACTTCCGTGTCGTTACCGCCGATAGAGAAAGATCGGTTGAGCGAGATGGGGGGTCCCGGTCCACTGTCTCCAGTCAGACCCTGCTTCTATTATTAGCGGCTTGCCGCCCCGAGCGAAGCGAGGGTCTGAAGCCAAAAGTACTAAAAGTGCAGATTTCCACTTATTAATACACCAACCTATCTATATTCTACGAAATACATTAATCTAAATAGTGCATTCGATAGCGCGTGCAAAGGGAAGAATTTCTATATTAATATTATCTGTATATAGTATTACGTTGTTAGGTTATAACTCGTCGTATAAAGCTAGTCCGATACAGCTACCCGCTAGAGGTTAGGTCTGCCAAATACTATATATCGCACTTCGTCGTATAACATTAAAACCTATATCGCTATATAGAGCGTACAATTCTAAGTATCTTTACTATAGTAGTTATTATTAGAAAGTATAGTTGTACTAAAGTATTGCACCGACAATAAAGCTAGTCTAAGCAGGCTAAAATAGGCGGTTGTCGCTTTATAGTATTTATCTATAAAACATATATTATTTAAAAGAGCGGCTAATTCTAAGTATAATTAATACTAGTACCGGAAGCGTCTAGTATAGTAGTATTAAGGTATTGCGAATGCGCTAAAGCTACTTAAATAGCCGAAAGTCGGCTTTTTAGTATATATACCTATACTACTTAAATAGTTGTCTTATAACGCTACCGCTATTAAATATATCTATATGTAATTAGAGTATACTTCTAAGTCGGCGCTATCTATCGGTGTCGGTTTAGTATACGTATCCCGCCGCGTTCTTATAGTGCTTGTTCGATTAAGATTATATAGACTAACTGCTATCGCGTTACGCTCTACGCGTATATGTATCTATATATATATTGTTCGTTCGTTTATTTGTTTATTTAGTAAAGTTTCTAGCGATTAAAGAAGCGGTGCGGGTATTAATATATAATTAATACAGACTTCCGCGTATAAAGTCCGTACCCTTTTATATGCAATCTTAAACGCGACGCGTTCAAACCTACTCTTCTACTTTCGGATCTCCTATTCCCCGTTTCTATAACACTTCCGACTCGATATCTATAACTACTTATTATAGATACGATAATAGGTAGCACTCGCGATAGCGATAGCGATAGCGGCCTACTTAACATTATAAGCGATATAGGCGACGCCCTTCCGACTTAGTACGAGTAGGAGATCGCTAATCGTAGAGCCGCCCTTCGCCGCGACTAACGCGCCTATTAGAAGATACGAGAAGAGGAAAATGCCTAGGCAGTACGCACTCGTAATCGCCTTCGCCTACGTAATACACTATATATCTAGCGTCTAGATCCTATTTAGAGTAGCGACGACGACGAGAGTAAGACTAATAAAGACGAGTACGATCTCGAGGCCTAAGAGCAGGATAATAATCTTAGTAATAATAAGCTTAAGGCCGAACAGAACGCTAGCTTCTCGGTCGATTACGACGCTAAGAATAACTCTAATGCCTTCGAAGATGTCGAATCCGATAAAGAGGTATAGCGACTAGGTTATAGCAGGTATAGCAAGACTCCTAGTGCTACGAAAGGTCCGAGATCTTATAAAAAGCAGCGCAAGGTCCGCCGCTCTAATAAAGAGAAGTTTAGGCTAGTTATACAGCTAATGTCCGACGAATATATATCGATATCTAAGCTTGTCTCGATATATATTAGTATCGCGGGTATACGAGACTACCGGCTTAGAGTAACTAAGCTAATTAAGAAGGGCCTACTACGAGAGGGTCTTGTAAGCACTAAGGTCCTACGTACCGAATTAAAACGACTTATTAGCAAGAAGTTCTTTAATAAGTATAACCTAGAGAATATGTCCGAGGAATTAGAAGCGTAGGAGGATATTACTCTCCTCGAAGAGATAGACAAGCTAATCTAGGGTACCGCACTAATATAGTATCGGCTTTTGCGATCGCTTCTGCTAAACTAGGTATATAGTATAAAGAAGATTAAGGCCGGTCTCGATGCCGAGGCAGGTAGTAGCGCCGAACGTTCTAGCAATAGAGACAATAAGGATGCTAAGCCCTAGGAGGATATTATTAGTAACAAGCATAACCGGATCTAGAAGCGCATTATAACTATAACTTATATTGCTACCCGGTCTATTACCCTTAAGAAGTTAGCCTAGTTTAGAAAGAAGTTCGGTCTATACCTCTATACTAGCGGTATTAAGGCTCGTATCGTTAATATACTAAGCGCGATAGGTATCTGTCCTTCCTTCCGTACGCTATAGAGACTATCGCGGAAGACGGCTCGGGCCTATCGTGTCTATATCGTTAAGAAAATTAAGACGGATCGCCGCTAGGTGCTTATATACGACAATTACTATAACCGATCGAATGTCCGTAGTACTTAGACCTATAGAAGCAATACTAAATAGGAGAACTAGACTACCTCCTATCTCGCATTCTATCTAGAGATACCTAAAGGTAGTCTAACTCGGGACATGCTAGACTATTCTAAGAAGCTTAATGCGCGATAGATCGTTCGTAATGTTTCTAATAACTAGTATAAGAAGCCTACATCCTACTACCTTATCGATTAGGCGCTTAGTAAGGTCTTTCCGAGCATCTAGGAGCGCTTTAAGGAGTTTAACTTTCCCGATATAGCACCCGAGCAGTCGTAGTTACAGGCTAAGAAGAAGAAGAAGAAGAAGGCAAAGACACCCTAGCGTACCGGTTCGAGGCGTAGTAGCCGGCAGACGCCTCGACAATCGGAACTAGAGCTAGAGCTAGAGCTAGAGCTAGCGTTAGAGGCGACTCCTAAAGAGAAAGAACTTAATCGATTGCTCGAGTTCGTTTATAGCGGCAGTCTATAATAGCGGTTTCTATAGCGGGTAATTAAGATTAAGGCTAAGGGCAAGATAGCAATCGTTCTACTACTAGTATCTCGGCACGATAAGGCTTCTATCTAGGAGATATATAAAGTCTATAACGATATCTTCGAAGAGTTCCTAAAGCT